TTACTATTCTCTATTGTTTCTTCTTTTTCCCGGTATGCTCTACTTCTTGAGTGTAATTCCTAAACAATTTTGGATTTAACAATAGATAAATTACTTAATAATTGAATAAATTATCTTGTTTCCTTATATTAGATATCATACATTATATGCTTTTGCATTATGGAGTAAATATATACATTAAAAATATTTTATTAATAATTGAGCATCCCTTAAAAATTAATAATTTGGTAATTATGTTTAATTAAAATTTATTAATAATTGGTGATTTCGGGTACTAATATCTCTTCTTTTGTTTCTATTCCAAAGCCTTAGAAAGGTTAATATTTAATTTTTTTTTGTGTGATTTTTTTAATATTTCTATTTCAAACTTTTTTCTTAATATGAAATGTTGAAATGTTAGAGGTCTTAACAATGATACTACTAATTTTTATTGTATATATCTTATTAAGGAACACAATTTAGATCTTTCATGTTCTTTAAGAACTAAAATTTCTAGTCTTTCTCTCTCTGACACTTTTACCATGAATTAATTGATTTTTTTTTCCTAATGAAAATAGTATTAATAACTTTCATTTAACAATTTTGAAAAAATGAATTTTTGCCAATATTAATTTTTCAGTATTGGTCGTTAATGCTCATAATATTCATGAAATTCGTTCTTTCTTCTCTTATACAAGGTTGTCAAGACAGCTTGTTTTTCGTGAACAACTCGTGTTAGGCTCATTAAGAAGCTTTTATTCAGCTCGTTCACTAAGTTAACGAGCTGTGATCTTCTCACTCAATTAAATTTACAACAATCAAACGACGCCAACATATCGCGAACCCCTTCATCCCTGGCGAGAACACAAACAATGATTTGTTTGTTCGTGTTTGACTTGTTTTGGCTTGAAATACTACTCATATCGCGGACCCCTTCATCCCTGGCGGAAACATTTGAAAATCTTCGGTACACTCTTGTCTATGGATTGGTAATCCCCCAGTGGAAAGTCCCAACTCAAATTTGATTTTGATTCTGGATGGATTCATTTTGAGTATGGTGTACTTAGATGGTTCTTTTGATCGTGTTCATCACTTCGGTCAACACCAATACGTGCGGTGTACTTGTTCCGCACGTCATACCTATTGGGGGTCCATTTGTTGACCTAATTTTAAGTGAGGTCTTAATTTCTTACTCCCAGAACCCAAACTCTAGCCTTAGGAGTTCTTATTGATCATTATAGCGGACTAATTTTACATATATAAGATTATGACCTTTGTATTGAAAGTTCAACCAAAAAAAAAACAGTAAATAATTCAATTAAATCTAGAAATTTGAAAGTATGTCTGAATATGAACCTGGCTTTTTTGCGCACAAAATTCAAACATATTTGAAGGGTGATAAATGGTTTTTGATATGTTTTAGGATGGTTAAATGTAAATGTAGCATCTTGAATGTGCAGCTAAGTGCGTGTGTGCATGCCATGCAAGCACGTTGATGAAATGAGCTCAAATGTCTTAATTCATTCAATCTTCATTACATAAAATAAAATGTTGAACTTCAAATCTTGCGAGGCTAAAGTTCTATTTGGTTTGGTTGCGGTATTTTAGTAAAGGTGTTTGTAAAATTGTGTTGGGAAAAATAATTTCTTAAAAAGTTATGGTGGGAATTATAAATATATATATATATATATTGATGAATTGTATTTTTAAAAAATTTAATTGACTTCAAGGCTACAAAGATTTATAATCAATTAAAAGTATTAATTAAGAAAATAGAATTAAATTAGATTCAAATGATATTTTAATATAAACAATAACTTTTAAATCTTGTCGTAATCCTTAACCTTTTCAACTTGAGCAAAAGATATTAAATTTGGGCAACAACTCCAAATTTTGATTGAGATTCGAGTAACTTTCTTTCTTATGAATCCTCTTATTTGATAATATAACAAATTATGATTATGTCTCATCTTGAACGTAATCCTTTGGATTTCAGTTTATTGGAGGAGGTTGTTAATATTACAATTGAGCTTACTATTTTTGTTTCTATTCTCATTTTATATTTGAAAGGAGTCGACAACTTGTTGATTATTGTATTCTTTTATTTTCTGAATAAATCTCTCTTCAGGATCATATGAATGATCAAAAGAAAAGATAAACCGGAAAGAAGGGACATACGACAATAACAACAAATAAGAGATGAGAAAGGTGAAGATCTTACTTGCAGTAAACCTCGTAGGGTTAGGTCAAGCAAGTTTGCCCAACAAGTTTGGGCGGAAACACCTTGGACAAATATCTGCAAAATAATGCTTATGATGAATGCCCGTAATAAGGAGAAATTATTACATTAGGACACCTGATGTAAATTATGCAAATTTGCATCAGGTGTCAAATAACAGGGGGTCACGTGGCAATTTGGGCCCGATGACATGCATGGTTCGGGCCCTAAACCCTATTATTGGACACATGATGCAATAATTTATTCATAATAAGAGATTCAGGTGCACGTGTCATTCTGAGATACATAGTGCTACTAAATGAACATATCTCATTTGGTTAATTATATTTTGGGGGCTACCCAAAAACACTGTTGATCCAAGGTAATTTTGCTTACATAGTAATAACATTACATCAGATGGCCGATTGAGGCGATGTGCTATGTCGACTGGGCCAGGGTGGCCAATCGAGGCAATATGTTGTGGTGACCAGGCCAAGGCGACCGATCGAGGCTATGTGCTATGCAACAAGCAAAGCACATGATGCAATACAAACTTAATATGTTGCAATTAATCCCGATCAATAGCGAGTCATACTAATGCTAACATCATTGCTTAATTACCTAGGGTTTAGTACATGATATGCGGCATAGCCGCCTACTGCTTTAGCGAGGGGTGTGGGGAGCTTCACTTTTAGATTTCCAAAAAAGAAACTCTTCACCATGTTGTAAAATGGACTAGCTACAAAGCTTTTCCCATTCTACAACTCTTCATGATTTTGCAAAGTGAGTTAGCTACAAAGCATTTCTCACTTCACAATATCCAAATACTTCAAACCCTCCAAAGAGGGTTGAAAATGACAAAGCAAGAAAAAATTGGGATTCAAACACACTTAGGTGTAGGCCTAAAGCTTCACAAGGAATCTTTCAGATTCACGGAGAATGTGTCAAACGAAAGTTTGTTAACTTAGAGCTTCCTCTAGGAAATAAACAACCAATCAATAGCCGTGTGGTCGTACCAACTAGTGTTGATGGAACCACTTGGCTAGCGTGGGCGACCGAACCCACGACGGTGCCACAAAATTGTATAATCAAAAGGTGTATGATCAGATCGACCGACATTGTTTAGCTTATCGGATCGTCCAATAACGGGTGATCGATTGAGCCGAATGATACCAGGCGGTCGGTCATACTTCCTTGTGTAGGTTACCAATGCCCACAACACCTAGCATAATATATTTCTAAGGCTAGCTAAGAAAAAAAATGCGCGGGAATTTTAGAGAATCTCAATAATGAGGAATTTCATGTTGTGTTTCTCACAAAGAATGAAGCATTCCTAATGGTAGGAGAGATGACGATGTTCCAACAAAATTTCGAGCTCCAACAAAGTTTTGATAAAGCTCCGACGATCCTTCCCCAAGCTATGATGAAGCTCTTTTTTAGCGTAGGAGAAGAGAGACCTTGATTCCTTGCTAGCCAAGATCTTACCCAAGAAGATAACTCACACACTCAAGGTAAGTGGTGGAGGAAGAAGGAGGAGATGAGGAGGAGAAGAGCTTCTTGTAGAAGAAGATGAAGGGCAAGAAGAAGTAGAAGCTCTCACTCTCACTTTTCCTTCATGTTCTTCACCTGAAGGAAGCTCCCAAACTTTCTCTCACAAGAAGAAAAAGAAGGAAGGAGCTCCAAGCTCTTTATCTAGGAAGAAGATGACTGGCTCTTGGAGGAGGACAAAAATGCTGAGAATGAGTGGAGATAGATGAAATGAGGGGAAGAAAAGAGCTTAAACTAGCCCCTCCCATTCCCCCCCAATATTGCTTTGCTAAATGTGGCTTTTCCACCTCACCTAGGAAGCCTCCAAAAAGGTATGATGATCCTCTTTTTGCATGCCCAAGGCAAATTCTCCCTTTTGAGCTGCCTAGGAGGGTGCACCAGGGATAAAATGGTCAAAATTGTGACAAAAAATGAGTTATGGAATTAGATTGACACCTAGGCGCCATGTCCTTAGGTGGCACCAACTTTCCAACAGTTCAAAAAAATGATAAATTTTTAGTAGTTTTGGGTCTGGCGCCTAGGCGCCAGACTTTTAGGGGCCTGGTTTTGAACATCGGGGAAGACATTTTGGGCTCATAGGCGCCAGTCTAGCCTTAAAAACTCTAATTTATAGTATGAGCACCTGAAAGAGGATTTCCTTGATATGAAAGCTATGAGAGATCACATATGAGTACATTATGATCCCCAACCTCAACTTTTCTCGTCCATTAATCGAAAAATTTGTCGCCAATGGGCGCTCTAGACTACGGCGCGGGTAGGGCGTTCCAAACTATAAATTTCTCTCAGTATGCGTAGGAGAGCTCTGAGAGCTTCGTGACTTCCCTTGACCTCGGGGAGGCTCCGAAGGGATACTTAGGGACCTGTAAACACCAGAATGAACATCAAACACTTCTGATGTTCTAGGCGAGTCTGTCCAACGACAGATTCTCTCAGGTAAGACCTAATCATTGTAGACCCTAGTTTCTTGTCCTGAACATGTAACAGGGGGTTTCAAATGAGTGCCTTAAGCTATGATATGCTATGAATGTGCAATGAATCGTCCTAAGCTAGTCAAATTGACACCCTGCACGTGTGCTATATAAAAAAAAAATATACCCTAACAAACATATATGTTTCTTCGTGTAAATTTTTCTAAATTTTTTTTTGATTCGGTTTATGCTCTTGTCATTTCTTTAATAAAGCTGAGATACTCCCATCACTTTTTTAGTAAAGTTGGGTGTCACTTTAATTAACAATTAATATCAACCGAATTGTTGGAATGTGAATTCCTTCATTACGGTGCTCATACTAATCACTGGGAATACCAAACCATTCCCAATCCCCTTCACGTTTTACTCCTCGCAATTCTCTTCCTTCCCATTCCCAATCACTCGAGGCCAGAAAATGCCGGTGAAGGAAGAAGGGAATTTGGAGGGAGGAGACTAATATAAAGTAACAGCTGCTAGCCCGCTTCACATGCCTCCATCGATTTCGCCCATCATTCTCTCCTCTCTCGGCCGCAGCTTTCGCCTTTCTTGCCCTATTCTTCATCAATCGAACACAAGGTTTCATAATCTCGTCTTTTTTTTTTCTTAATTTATTAAACATTGAAAAAAGTGGAAGAATCTTGCTCTCTTGTTATGCTACTTATAACCCCGCTTGTTGATTCGTGTGTTTTGCCCTTTTTTGAACCTTTTTGTGCTTAGAAAGTTTCACCATTAAAGAATGCTTTTGCTTTCTAGGATGAAATCTACTGCAGGGTACCAAAGTTGCTCGATGGACGATGAGAAATCGCTATCTTTGTACAGAAAGGTGGCCTGTATGAGAATTTGTCTCGTCTCAGGGTATCTTTTTTTCCTTGTTTTGTTTCTTTCTCATTTAGGAAAAAAATGATTAGAAAGTTGACGAAAGTTGCTTTTTTTCTCGCTTTTTAATGTAGGTTCTCGACTGAACTGCTTGAAGTAGAGTCTGAAGCGGCTACTTTGAATGTTCTCGTTATACCTGGGAATCCAGGTAGCCATGCATTTTTTTTCCATGATTTTAAGGTTTTGATTCTCAAGTTGGATTATTGTTTTGTATAATTGCAGGTGTTGTTTCTTTTTACAAGGATTTTGTTGAAGCTCTCTATGAACAGCTTGGGGGTTGTGCATCTATAACAGGCAAGGAATATGAACTCTGGGATACATTTGTAGATTTCTGTGGCTTCTGTTTTTTTGCTAATTTTTGTCCCATTTGTGTTGATATCCAGCAATTGGGCATGTATCTCAGTCAAGACAGGTACCATGTTCACTTAGAAATCTGAAACAATGTGTATGATGATTCAGTCATTTGGTTTTTCTATGATAATGATATCAAATTTGTCCTTTTTTATAGAATGCGAAAGCTAATTTGCTGTAAAGGATGCTCAAATCTTCTGATTTTAATATTGTGCTGGATAGTTTTTCAATTTTTGTATGGTAGAAGGCAGAAATTTGATTTTATGCGGTAGTGTTGCCTTCTAAATTTTATTTGGAGGTGTGCGATGGCTCGCCAAATCTTCTATGTATATAAGACTTTTCATTTATCTTGTTCTGTTGATGACATGAATAATATTTTTGAAGTTGTACGATTGCAAGCTATAGGTGGTTTTGAATGTAAATGGCAAGTCAAAGAGAGAAGCTAACAAACATATCATGGTTTTTTACATTCCCTTAGAACAGTTTGTGCTTTATCGGCCTAGAATTTATGCGCATAGGTTGTGTTAATGTATTTTCAATTCATAATGTTTGACTAGAGTTATCCATGTTGTTATAAATTCTAATCTATAGGGCGTTTGGATGGATATAGTAGGATATAGCAGGGCCAACAATAAGGGTGTCTTGTGGCACGAAAGATGGATAGTCTCCTCGCCATTTCCACAGTAATTATCGAATTCACTATTTGAGGGACGAGAGCTTCAGTGTTGAAAGTTTGATTACTGAAAGGACTTGTTTTTTGCAAGAGGTAAGTTTGCATCAGCGACTCTATGGAACATTGAAGCTTTTCCAAGGTACTAGTTAGTCACTATGCCCTGTGGAAGTGCCGCATTGATTGGATTGTTATCCTATATCGTGAAGTCAAGGTTGAGGAATTTGATTTTAGATTTGCCTTTATGATTTTTAATGATAAACATGAATAAAACATAATGATGCATAAAGATGATGGGAAAAAAACTTTCATAGCGGAGTTGTTGTAAATACCCGGGCTCTGAATTGCTCGTGGTTGACCTTGTAGGTTCATTTCTTGGCTCTAGAGTTCTGAGAGAAGAAACATGAGATTACAAAGTTAGATTGATAAGGTTGCGGATAAGCTAAGGTTGAATTTGGCGACTACAGGGAGTTTCAACGTCATGATGGGGATAGGAAAGGTGGAGAAAAGTCGAGGAATCTGCAAGGGGTTGTTTCTGACACTACATGACCTACTGGTGGTAGAAGATTTCCTTCATTTAAATTAGCACAGATGTGATTTTGGGGATGAAGTGGCTGCGAACATTGGGGAGATGAAGGTGGATTGAAATTACTCGACAATGGAGTTCCAAATGAAGAGTAGGAAGGTGATGTTTAGAGGAGATGCTAGTTTATGCAAAACCATAGTGTCTCTCAAAACCACAGTCAAGTCGATTTGGGGAGCATGCCTGGGCTACTTGGTAGAGTTACAGAGCATTGAAGAGATTCAGGATTCAAAGTTGACAGAGTTTCTAGAAGGGTCTAATAGTTTCTACAACAATTTACAGATGTCTTCCAACAATCAAAGGGGCTTCATCCTCCGAGGGAGCACGAGCATGCTATTACAATGAAGGAGTATGTTACTCCCATCAGCGTCAGACCATACAGGTACCCTCAAATTTAGAAGGAAGGGATAGAAAAGCTGATCCAAGAGATGCTCAAGGCTGGGATTATCAGGCCTAGTTTGAGCCTCTTTTCTAGTCCCGTCGTGTGAAGCAAAAAGATGATAGTTGGAAATTATGCGTGGACTATCAGCTTTGAACAAAGAGACGGTGTTGGACAAGTTTCCTATTTCTGTGATTGATAAGCTACTAGATGAGCTTTATGTGATAGTTATTTTCTTAAAAAATGATTTAAAGTCAGGATACCACTAAATCATGATGAATCCAACGGATGTGCACAAGACAACATTCATGACACATGAAGGACATTATGAGTTCTTAGTGATGTATTTTGGCCTCACCAACTCAACGATATTTCAGTCCCTTTTTCAACCTTATCTTCAGAAATTTGACTTGGTTTTCTTTGATGACATTTTGATTTACAGTCGTACAGAGATAGAGCATGTGAGACACCTAAGGACAGTCTTGGAGACGTTGAGGGAGCACTAATTGTATATCAACTTGAAGAAATGTTCTTTTGCACAGTTGCAGGTGGAGTACCTAGAACATGTGGTAACCAGAATGGGGGTAGCAGTGGATCGGTCAAAGATCGAGACTATAGTTGATTGGCCCATACCAATAAGTAAAAAGGAGATGAGAGGATTCCTGGATCTCACCAGACCACTACCGTAACTTCATGAGAGGATTTGACACGATAGCATGACCACTGACAGAGCAATTAAAGAAAGTCAATTTCAAATGGGGAGAAGTAGTAACACATATATTTGAACATCTGAAGGGATCCATGACTAGCGTATCGGTATTAGTACTTCCAGATTTCAGTAAACCATTTGTGGTGGAAACAGATGCATCAGTTACTGATTATGAGTAGTGCTCATGCAGGATCAGTGACCGATTGTTTACTTTAGCCAGGTTCTTACGATCAGAGCGAGACTAAAGTCAGTATATGAATGAGAATTGATGATAATTGTCTTGGTCATGCAAAAGTAGCTGCCCTACCTATTGGGACGGTATTTCTTGGTCAAGACAAATTAAAGGAGTTTAAAGTATCTTCTGGAGCAGTGGATGGTGACTGATGAGCATTAGAGATCACTATTCAAGCTACTGGGATATTATTTTGAGATTCTATACTGGCTAGGATTGGAGAACAAGACAATTGGCGCATTGTCGAGAAAGGTGGAGGAACCCAAATTGATGGCCCTATCGGTACCCTTGGTCCTAGATTGAGAAGCCTTGAGACATGAGAGCGAAAGGGATGGGGTAGCTGAGGAAGATAAAAGCCGAGTTACTACAGGATCCGAACAATCATCCAGGATATGCATTGAGGGGACAATAACTGCTGCACCAGCGGCATTTTGTTCTACCCAAGTTGTTGGATTATATTCCCAGATTATTGTAAGAGTTTCATGACACTGTGATTGAGGGACACTTAGGGGTGCAAAAGACCTACAGTCGTCTGACAGTAGAGCTTTATTAGGTTGGGATGCACAAAGGTGTAAAATGACATGGTGGAAAAATATGATGCGTGTCAGCGACACAAATACTTGACCACAACACCATGGATGTTACTACAATCATTAGCATTGTCGGGGAAGGTTTGGGAAAAAGTTAAGATGGATTTTATCGAGGGGTTGCTATGGTCAGAGGGTTTCATGGTGATTTTGGTAGTCGTGGATTGCCTAAGCAAATAAGCACATTTCATTCCCTTACGACATCCCTTCACTGCGGTCTCAGTTTGTATAGTGTTTATCCGGGAAGTGGTCTGTTTGCACAGGGTGTTGGAATTGATTATATCAAATAAAGACGAGGTTTTCCTCAACTGCTTCTGAAAGGAGCTATTCAGGTTTCAAGGGACAATTATTTAAAGAAACACCGCATATCATACCCAGACCGATGGATAGACGGAGGTGGTCAATAGAAGTGTGGAGACAAACCTGTGTTGTTTTGTATCCGATACCTCAAAGCTATGGGCTAAGTGGATTGCATGGGATGGATATTGGTATAATACTTCGTAATACACCGTAACACATTCAACCCCTTTCAAGATATTGTAGAGGCGAGATCCACCTCACTTGATGCATTATGGACATAGTCTCACACCGATATCCAACATCGATCAATACCTATAGGAGAAGGGCAAGATATTAGCAGAGCTTTAGGGGCATTTACTGAAAGCTCAATAAATCATGAAGAGGAAGGTGTACGAACATAAAATATGTGCAATTTAAACCAGAAGACATGGTCTACTTAAAATTGAGACCTATCGACATGATACATTGACCAGGAGGAACGAGAATCTTTCTCTGAGTTACTTTGGGCCTTATGAGGCAATGACTATTGCCCGCACTACACCTGGTCGCATTACACCGAGTTACTCAAGCAGTCGCCTACCGTTTGAGGTTACCACAATTGTTCGCACTACACCTGGTCTTCCATGTATCACAATTGAGATGTGCAATTGGATATTATACACCCTCATTTACACTATTGCCGACGTTGACGGAGGACTTGGAGGTGATTCTGGAGTCATTAGAGATCGAAGGAGTGCGCCAAGGAGTATGGGGAGCAAATGAGGTATTGGTTAAGCGGAAAGGGATGCCAAACCATGAAGCAACATGGGAGCCTTGCGAAGTGATCCACAAACCGTTTCCATACGTCCACCTTGAGGACAAGGTACTTTTTTGGGAGGGGAATATTGTTATGCTCTTACAGTGGCTAGTCCATGATGTACCGACCGATTGCAACCCAACCGGCCCACAGACGGGCCGACCTTTGACGCATGAAGAAGATGAGTCCAGACGGATCGTAGAAGAAGTAAAGGAGGGGTGGGGTCCACTAGGGCCATAATCACATATTCAAGGAGGAGAAATTAGAGGAGGTTTGGGGGGGGAAGCGGGAAGGGAAAGTTTTCAAATGCTGTGGGAAGATTCTATTGAGAGAGGGAACCTAGGTTTGTTTTCTTTCATGCATGTATTTGGTGGTTTGTCGGTTGTTTTTATTTTTTTATTTTTTTAAACTTCGTGATTTAAAAAAGTGATGATTTTGTGATTTTGTGATTTTGAAAATAATTTAAATATAAATATAACCTTTCTGATTTTTAAAAGTAATATTTTAATTTTAAAATAGGTGAGACCAAATGGGTCTCACATTTTAAATAGTTTTGATTGAATACAATACTACAGGTAATACACTTATCCCGAAGAATAAATATATCACTTGTAATAGGGATTCAATCACCTAGACTAAAGAATTTGTGACATCCGTTTTAGTCTGCGAAATATTTTTATAAAAAGGACAACAAGTTCCCCTACCTAACATAAAAAAATTAGATAGGGTTTATTTTATCTGGGTTCCTGGTTTCCTATAGAGACAAACCCCTATAGTTAATTACATCTTAAATGATCGAAATCAC